GGCGGCGGAGGCAATGTCTATGGAAGCGTATGTGGTGCTTTCGGTGAGAAATTATTAAAAGGATCAAACCCGGGTCCTCCTTTAGGGAGTTTTCCCAGTACTTGGCAAAAATGGTCATCTAGCTTTGATGCTCTCCTTAGCGACGGCGATGGCGTTGCTCTCTTTAAATCCTATCTTGAAAGTGAGAACTGCGGCAACCTACTGGACTTTTGGTTCGCATGTCAAGGGTTTCGAAATAAAGTTGATCCGTCGGACCGTAAGAAGATTCTACAACTCATCAAAGTTATCTACCAAACCTACATCCGGGGTAGTACATGTTCGGCATCCCAACAATCTGCAGTTGCATCACAGGCTGTTGGTGCGCCACTTCAGTTCTCACGCCACCGTACTTCCCAACATCACGAGGCCGTTCGTTTGCGGCCTGAAACACGCAAGGCCATTGCCGAACGCCTCTCTCACAAGAGTTCTCTCGACCAAACCATCTTCGATGAGGCCCAAAATGAAATTGGACACTTTTTGCGGCATACTGCATATTCTGCCTTCCTGAACTCCGACGTCTATCTTTCATACATCCAGGGTGCTGGCACATACTCTCTCAACCCCTCACTCCGGACTCCGTCTCCGGATACTCGGGCTAGTAGTGCTGGCCATCATCAGTACCACCACATGTTTGATTCCTTTGCTGCTTCTGGCTGTGGTCTGCCCACAGTTGACGAAGACCAGGAGCTGGTTTCTGATAAGTTGTCTCCGGATGTAAAAAGGACTGTCCTGCCCACCGCGCCATTGCCGCAGACTTACGTTTACTCGCACCAACAATCGTACCACTACTTTGGCGACCCAAACGCGCCACCGTTTACAGCGCAACCTCCGGCTGTCTCATGTTTTTGTCTAGCGCAACAGCGCCCCTGGACCTCTCCACCAACAGCTGGCTATTATCCCTCTTCTCACGGTACGCTCTGCTGTACTCCGGCACCTGCGGCGCCGCTCACCCAGGAAAACATCCAGATTACTCGGTTTCAGAGGGCGGAATTGCCCGTCCCTCAACACCTTTCCTCTTGTCCGCGTTGTCATACACCCCTCCCGGTCAATCAGATACCTCCTATGCCCCACACAGTTGGCCCCCAACAGTACTTCCTACCACCCCAGGCGAAGCAATTGCAGCCAGTCACTGCAACCACGGTGCCTCCTGCTCCGCTTGCTGGCCCCCGGAAGTGGGTTGACGCTGTTTGGT